CCGCAAGTGATGCAAACTGGCAAACTGGATTCAAGACTCTGGGATTCGTGCACCGTCTTCATCAAGCACATTGTTGTCAGAACTGGTACAACGACCGAGGTGTGTAAGCCTGTCCATAAAATTCAGGGCTTCTCTTTGGATTGCACGGAGAATTCTCGGAGACTGGACGTTATGGTTCTACACTTTGCAGGTGCAAAACACGTACCGAAAAATGGTACGACGATGCTCAGTTTATTAGACCGTTCGCCTTCGTCTTCAAAGACGAGGACAATGTCGTCTGCGTACCCTAGGTAGGCAATGTTCTCATCAGCCATTATTTGGATACTATAATTCTGAAGACCTTCCAGCGTTCGGCTCACTATATCAGCGATGACAAAGTTTAAATAAAATGAAGAGGGGATATTTCTTCAGATACCGCTTTTTCGGGGTGGAATGTAGAGAACCGAATTTGAAGACCGGATTAAGTTCAGAACCGTCTGTGGCATCCAATGTTGAGCAATCACAGTCGGGAGAAATGAGTGATCGACAGAACTAAACGCACCCTTAACGTAAAGAAACACCAAGGCTGTGGGTCGCCTGTACCTATGGCGTTGCTCTAACACCTGATGGAATCTGAAGATTTGGCCGATGCGGCCTCTACCCGATTGAAATCCCGCTTGACGCTGCAATTAGGTGACAAAGAAACAGTGACGATTCGTGGTTGTACGTGAGTTGACACACTGTTAGCATTGCTTCTTTCAGGTTGTTTTGTACGAAAGAGAGCGGCTGCTGGGCAACTGACTGTTTCTTACACAGGGGCAATAAACTGGGTCATTCATAAGCAACATCCATATATTTATCCTACTGTTGGGGCGAGATAGCCCATTTGGTTAGAGCGCGAATTTACCGACCGGAAGGTCCGTGGTTCGAACTCGACATTCGGCACTCGACTTCCCCTGTCTAGGCTTGGGCAACCTGGCAGTATCTCAGCCCTCGTGCTTCCTCCGGGTGGCATGGCAGCTAGGCACCGGAAGGGTGCTACAGCTGAACGATTATTATTATTATTATTATTTATCCTACTGTTTACTACCAATATCGAAAAATTCAGCTGGAAGTCAAAGGCACTTCAGAAACGTTGCCCATTGCAATATAACATTCCTGGATAGTCGGAACCGCTCCCCCTTCGGCGATAGTTCAGATAGTGCAGAATTCGCAAATTGAGTAATAACCCTTTTCTTACGTTGAATTATCCACTCTTCGGGAATTCTTATGGCGGTGTAGCCCACCCGAGAAATAACAGAGCTCACGCTCGAACCATAAGAACGGTGTGTGTGTGTGTAACTGAATAATCTGCTGCGCCTTCTGGAGCGATCCGGCTGGAACCAAATTCTCTATACTCTGAGCAAGGAGATCCTCCAGTGTCGGAACGTTCGTATCTCTGCAGGAAAGCCCCCCAGAACAAGTCACATGACTTAACCGTCGGAAACTTTCAAGCAGTCTCGATGCACAGGACGATATTGGAAGTTATAATGTTACCGGGTTTCATGACGGTAGCGTCCCGCCTACGCAAATGCCGGTCCATCTTATCGGCTGGGTCTTGTCACGATTAAGGTTTCTAGCGGAGATGCTGCAACACAAATGCAGATCGACTGTTGTACAGGTTGCCACACTTCACCGAAACCAACCAAGTACGGTCACAACTTGGATCTGACTTCTCTGGAATCTAGTTACATGTATTGAGGAGCCGAAGATCCTTCTCTTCCATTCCAGGCCTTCTGCCATGGAGGCCGTTTTCAGAGACGTCGCCTTGAACAGTAAGCTGGCTCAAATCATCAGCACACCAGTGGTCAAAAGCACTAATTTCTCCTGGGTCTAATTTTTACCGGGACACAAAAGCCGGTGGATGAGGGTGACACACCGCCTCCTGTGGGGACCAGTGGCTATGCAGAGCTTGGGCACGTCTATGACTCACCATTAGAATCTTGATTTCAACCTACTTTCGGATACATCTTTGGTACGTCGCACTAGGGGCAAACACTGGGAAAGCCATGCACAGTAGGTAAGCCAGCAGTCCTCGAACAAGTTAAAAGGTTAGCAACTGGGATGATACTTCATCTACACTTCCAACACTATCCGGAACGTTTCTTTCCACTGGGTCTTGTTTGCATATTATGGAACCTATGGAGGCCTCACTCCAGGCCATAAAGTTCAGGATCTCAGGACGAACGCATCACCTTTTCGTTCAAATAAGTGAACCAGAGGGGTAGGCATGGTCACTGTCACTGGATGTACCTGTGTACCTTCACATGTGTCGCAACCATAGGCTGAGATTTCAAACACACCGCCACTTCCGGATATCCAAACTACAGCGGTGACACGGCTTAAGCCATATACGAGCTCCCCCGGGATTGGGCGTGGTGAACAGATCGAGAATTGAACAAACTTACCCCCTACACAGTCTGGTAGTGCATGCTCAATTGGAGTCCAGCAGCAACTGGAACTTTAGCTTCGAGTTAGTATGGTTCACGGGATGAAACAGTTGGCGATATGGATGATCTTGGCCAGTCAGTGTTCGGTATACGGTAGTGAGGCTATTACACGACATTTTGTATGCCACAGAAGAGACTTCATAGTAGGTTCGCATCTTTGATAAAGGTTTGGCGACCACAGACTGAATTGGTCGCACAACTTTCTGGTTCCAGCAGCTTTTAGTTGTTTTTCAGTTTGGATACCGTTATTGGACCACCTATTCACCATCGCGCCCCATGTACACTGCGTTTGTGGGCGTCCGTCGGATGTACCGGTGGTGCGCCACAGAATTAAGGGGGTTTTGCTGGTAGTTGCCGTTGCCTTCATTCATTAAGCTGTCTTGTGGTAAAAATATCCTCAGGTCTCACATGAACGTTGTCTCCAGTGTGTGAAGATCAAGAGAGAGAATGTGCGTATGCGCGTGAGAGAGAGCGTTGGTGCGTCGGATCGTTGCATTATTCAGGGGCCTTGCGTTCAATTAAAAATTATAAGCTGAAAACTTGTTCAGTGCCGGATGACAGATACACAAACTAAAGACACCATCAAAAAGGATGATCGCAATGAATGGGCAGACATAGTGGGATTGCCTCGACCCAACCACAACGGAACTCTCCGCTGCTTACTATATGTCGTCCTACGAAGGCCTGTCAAGAAAGGATCCGAGAACAGTAAGCAGGATACCGATCAGGAGGGGTCTGTGTGGACCACATCTTCACACTCCGCTAAGTGTTAGAGCCACGACATGCGCATAAGCGCCACAAAACCTTGGTGTTCCTTGACTTCAGGATTTCGTTCGATTCTGTTGGCCGGTTCATTCTTCTCAACACTTGTGCAGCAAGGCATTTCCCAGAAGTTCATGAATGTCAAGCACTGTTTGTTTTCACCTACTTGTAGGCGCATGGGCGTATAGAGGGCTGCCCAAAAGATTCCATACAAGCAGTGGTGTGTCCGATAGGCATGTCCACTTTCTCCATTTTTGTTTAAGTACTGAAGCGAATTCTGGAAACCCGGTGTCCAGATCTTTCCTACTAAGAACCTCGTCAAGGTCGAGATAGCTCAGCAGTTAAGGCGCAGAATTGCCGACCAGAAGGTTCGCGGTTTAAACCCTTCCTCGGCGGCTCCATCGCTCCTGTCTAGGCTTGACAAACCTGATAAAATCTCACCTCGTGCTCCCTTCGGGTGGCATGACAGCTAGGCACCGAAAAGGTGTTTTAGCTGACCGTTTATTTATTATTAGTTTCGTTACCCGGCCGAAGTGAAATATGTTGACAACATTTTTATCATCTTTAGAGAGAGAAGTGAAAGCATTAGTGGAAAATTTAGTCAAGGTTACCCAGTCCTTCGGCACGTTTAGCACCCACAAAATGCAGTCATGCTATAGGGCATACAGTTTAAACGGCCTCTAAGAATTCAAGGAGTGACACTGGGGGCTGTGAAACACCATGTGTATCTCTGAGTTTGAACACCCTCTGACGATGGTGTGACGGACGAAGTCAACATTCGAGTCTCAAAAGTCATAAATGCTTCTCCCGATTAGCATCACTTGTGGCATCAAAAAGCACCGCACCGGGTCTCAAAGAATACGTGTGTTAGATTACAGTTCGATATGTATATTTGTACGGTTGCGAGACCTGGTTACTTCGGGATGACAGTGAGACATTATCGGGTCTTTGACCACTCCTATCTCAAAACTATGAGTAGAATCAGCTGGAACCAGCAAATTGGAACGTGATGATCAAGAAACGGAGCTTTGTTGAAACACTCCACTCAAAGGATGCATCCGGTACTGCAAGCTAAGTTGGTTAGACCCTGTATTATGCACGCCGAGAAGAGCGCTGTTTTCCGTGCCTGATTGGGACCAGCGAGAAATTAGGGGTCGACAGAATTTTGCGTGCCGGAAGGGGATGAAGGATGTTGTGAGAAGTTTGGGTTCATCTGTTCACCTTGCAGGTTGGGGTCTACGTGACCCTATCTGTGCTTAGCTTGAGACACTGAAGGATGTGGCGACTAACCGGTGTCAGTGGCTTCTATACTGTCAGCTTCTCTTCAGATTGTCTGACTGTGTGCTGGAGGCTTAGAAGCCTCGGGTGTTTGTGATAGGTCTGTCCCAGATCCCCTCTCTTTCCCATTTCTTGCTTTATACTACAAGGCTTTAGATTAAATGATTGACATGCTTGTACGGCAGTGAGGCACCGGTGTTCCCATCTGGTGTTGCTGTCAGTGGTGGTGATGTAGAATTGACACCATTGGCCACGCAATACCTACTCTTAATAATTTCATCGCTGTCTTACTTTGAAAAGCTTGGTTTCCCACCATAGCAGCATATTGGTAAAAAGTTTGTTTGCGACAGGTCTCTGTCATCAGTACATTGTTTGGTAGGAATACCATCATAACGGTAGCACTGTTTCCTCGGGATGGCTTCTCTGGGTATTGCAATGCGAATTCTCATTTTACCCGTCGTTTTTCTCCCTCTTTCCCGTCTCCCCGTTCAGGGAATCCCTTTGGGCTTGTCAGCAGCTGTACCTTATATACTCCAATCCGATCCAAACACTGCAAGCTATCAGACTCAAGCCACGTTCTCCTTGGTCACATGGCCATTTTCCTTGAAGTTGCTCTGGGCCCCTCTAGTCGACGCGATCTACAGCACCCGTTTTGGAAGGCGGAAATCCTGGCTCATACCGGTTCAGTATGCGATCGGTGTAGATCTACTGGTTCTTGCTAGCAATGTGGACAGGTGGCTCGGACGCGAAGAGGGCAAGTCCTGGGGCCCACTTGCCGTAACCCACCCTGTAAATATCTACAGCTTGACCGTGGCATTCTTTGGTTTGACACTACTTGCGGCAACTCAAGATATTGCTGTGGATGGTTGGGCCATCACCATGCTTTCGAAGTAAGCTATGTGAATACGGATTCACTCTTCCCCACTATTGTTTATCATCACTATAGCAGTGGCAATAGGTTGGACGGATTGATCTGATCAGAAAATAGACCACTATGAAGTATCTTATCCATTACTCCCCATGGAAGACCTGATAGTTACCAAGCGTAGAATTTAAGCGCACGCCCATCGTGGGGATCAGGTCGGATTTTTAAAGGCGCAGCTATACGAGGTCCCTCTTCTTTATTGGGACTTATCAGGCGGGCCCAGATTCGACCGATCACACGATTGCTTGGTCGACCCGGATAGAGCACATAACTCTAGTTAATTGACTTGGCACATTGAGACTAGTCGATTCGATCTATTTCGTGGCTTCCATTTGCCGCTTTCTTTCTCACTCTATTAATTGTTAGCTTGTGTGTTTCCTGTAGGTTACTTAGTCGCTAACTCTGGCATAGCCATATCTCACAGCACAGTGAAAACTTTTCGATAGGGGACGACCATGATTTCTGTAGGAACCTGAAATCTCCCCATTGAACCGAATAAGGACATCAAACGTAGTCTCACTACTTGACAAAATTCTTTTCAAAGGGAAATTGCGTTATTAAGTAGTGTATCTTCTTACCAAATTTTCATTATCGACTCCGTCTTGTGATCTGGTTGATAAGCGTGCTGTATTTTCACTGTATATTGTGAAGCGGCTAAAATCCTGTTGTACCCTGTCTAGACAAATTCACTTTCTCCTAAATCTTTGTGACCGGGTGGTCATTTCTGCGCCTGATTTTGTGGCTGATTATTAGCCAAACCAAAATACCATATCTGCATTTGTGTGTACGCATTTGTAGGCAATACCGGCCTTTTGTTTGTTCATCTGTTTCGGCCTTTGTGGACAGAAGCATCAAATGGTTATTAGAGACCTAAATTGAACACTTAGCGGCGAGATGGCCCAAGGGGTTAGAGCGCGAAATTACTGACCGGAAGGTCCGTGGTTCGAACCCGACCTCTGCCTCTCGACTTCCCCTGTCTAGGCTTGGGCAACCTGGCAGTATCCCAGCCCTCGTGCAACCTGGTGGCATGGCAGTTAGGCACCGAAAGGGTGATACAGCTGAACGATTCTATTTAGCTATTTACATCGCAATGAAACCTAGCGATGTGGCATTACTCCCTAAATTAGGGAATGCTCATCGTGTTCATAGGAGAGAAATCGTCGCTACTTCCAACTGAGTGGTTCATTATGCCAGCAGAGGATCCCGAGGAATGGACCTGGGAAATAGATAGGCCTTCTTTTCGACTGACATGCTATTCTAATAGCTGCAATTGGTTTGTCTATAGGAGATATTGCGAAGCGGCCTAGCCTACCGGATCTCAGTTTTACAATGTGGTCTGGGCAGAATGGAAGCATATACTTTCGGAAAATTGGAGTTCGGCGAGAAATGTTTGTGGTGCAAGAGAGTAACTAGCGAAACCCAAATATGGGGCACACAATCCATTCCTTCGAGCCTATGTTGGAAACTTGTGCACTCTCGCAGGAGAAGATGGTAGATTGGTATATATCGATTCCAAAGTGATCAATGACTGCATTGTAAGGTTCTAATCCTTGTACATATCTAATAAACCGATAGGTCATAAAACTGTCTAAGGAAATGACTGGGAATGCGTCGTGTCTCGCTCACATGGCCATTGTGTTATCGATTTTATTGCTAGTATCTATCATGTTCGTTGTCAAAGACGGACAACTTCGTCAGGGCGAACTCTGAAAAATCAATTGGTGGAGCTCTGAAATCGTTGTACCGGCCGCCAGTAACGGGAGTGGGTGGTTGCAACAGTGGGAATGAGGAATATGGGTGCCTTGAAAAGTCAAGCAGACTACACGTGCGTTTGCGTCGTGTCCAACATTGTTACATGCATTCCGCAGGCGGTCAGTGTTTTGAGTTCTTCTTTTGCGGCTGGTAGCCGCTTACCTTCTGGCTGTCTTCACGTCTCCATACTTTACATAACCTACATAACTCTGCTGGACGGTTTGGTATGCTCTTCAAATCTGCAAGACTGAGTGGGATCAAACCCAAGTTTCATGCTTGCAGATGAGGCTATCGATGTGGTAGATAAATTTATTTACCTGGGCAACTTCGTGGTGATCGAAACTCTAGCATCTCAAACCATTGTGCCTGTTGTACGCGGTTTATAGCTTATTGACATGTTTTCAAAACTCTTGAGACACATTTTTGGATTTTAGCTGTTCTGGTTGACAGTCTCAATACCCTACTTTTAACTGTCACCCAAAATTGGCAGTAAAGTGAATCACAGGATCAGTAATTTGGTCACCGCGTTATAACCAATTTCGGTCATTGACCGAGGAGACCTCGCGTTCGAGCGGCATGTCACTGGCCAACTATACCCCTAGGGAAAGTTGCTAGTAATTCCAGCGATATATTGCTGTGAGGTCTCTAGGCGGATAACGCATTCGTTCCGTACGGGTAGAGGGGACAGGACTGTGGCTGATATATTGCCAGGTTGCCTAAGGCTAGGCAGTCCAGATGCCAGGGTTGGGTTCGAACCACGGCACTTTCGGTCAGTAAGTTCAGCCACTGATATAGACTGCTTTTTGTGTCTACTCGTGAACTGTTTTCGGTCTGGTTTCTTAGAATAGTGCGATTCAATCGACCTGACTTGTTGGCTCATTCTGATAATTAGTCCATTTCTAGAGGGATTGGATAATTCTCATCGGCTCTTCGCGACAAACTTCGGGTTGTACTTCACTTCATTAGATGTGTGATGACATTGTAACTCCTGGAGGAATCTGTCTTCGGTGACGCTGATCTGTTTCACCGCTTTTCGTATTTTCCAACCCTTTCCATCTTGTATGTGGGTATGAAAAGATTCATTACACGGAATGTGGTCAGTTGATTACAAGCCAATGAAGTGAAGCCCGGATATGAGTCGAAAGTCTGTTTCCTGTTGAGATGCGAAACCGGAAGCCCATTTCATAGTACACCTGAAATCAATACCTGTTCATCTGATACGCCTGTTTCAGCGCTTCGTGACACATTTATTTCCGTTCAACACGAGTGTTTACTCTTGAAACTAAGGAAGTATGTGTGGAATTGGCGTATTATTAGTGGCCCAGGTACTCGTTTTCTCAGTGTTGAGCCGAATGATGAAAATTACTTCCTCTCTTTTCAACAGGCAGAACTTGGGCTGGGCATCGACGTGCAATTCTGTTGGGCAAATACTAGGCTATATGGTCGCATTTGTGCTGTTTCTGTTTCTGGAATCTCCTCACATAGCCAACAGCTTTATACGCGGAAAACCGGTAACTGACCAGGGGTTCATCACATTCTCCGGTAAGTCCGCAATGTTTTTTCTAAGATACAGTACTCACCCCCCTGCAGAAAACCATTCCTCCAAGGAAACAGTTTTCCAGTTACGGAATTTTTGTACTGTAGTTTCTGCTCGACTAAACAAACTCCGGGATCGAAGGGACAATGTAAACACCTCACGTCTCCAGCCCATATCCACCAATCGATGTTTACTTCAGAGCATTTCCCTTGAGCGCATCTGATACACTTGTTCACCAGATTACTTCAATTTCTAACTGAGGTGGTTTCGACTCAGCCGATAAGTACACTGGATCACCCATTGTGTCACTTCGTGGCTTATGTGCCTATTAGGGACGACACAGCGAATGGCTAGAATGAAGTGACCGTATTTTTTAATTGCCAACAGTGATCATTGTTTTCATTGCTCTGTTGGAGCACGTCTTAGGCAATAACTTATCCTCGTTTGCATACCAATTTGGTTTCCCCGGGAGACTCAGATAAATCTTTCGTCTATGACGTTCTTCTCCAGACCAAATTGTATGCAATTGAGTGTATTTGTTAAATTTAGTGCAATCTTAGTTCAGGTAGAACAGCGACTTAGGGAGTGCCCCCCCACCGGCAAAGGTGAAACCATTCGTGGACTGCCGAGTAGTTTTCAGCAACCTTACGGGTAGTGTGTTACGTCTCACTAAAGTTGAGTTAGCCACTAGTGCCCAATGACTGAGGTTGCGGAGATGAGAACCACCGTACAGTCGCACCAGATTGTTCAAACAGCGGATGGGGAACTGTATTGAATGTATGAAGTGTTTGCTCCAGTTAAAATGGAGAGTTGTTGGCAGACGTGCCCGGACTTATTGTAGTAGGCTCACACTAAGTTCCTTTTGCTTTCATTCTTTTCATCGTAATATGAATTGAAGGAAATATATGAAATTGAAATGTGAAATGAATTGTCGCGAGCGCTTCTGTTTGATAACTTTCACGAAATCAAGCAAACGGCTGGTACACACACACAAACACCAAATCTTTTGCACTTGAAGAATGGCCAGCTAACAACTGTTCACAGACAGTATTAGCCTGCGCTGATCGTTTGGATCATTTCATCGTCTTCATGGCCACGAATCATCCGTGTCACACCGAAACCGTAATGTGATTGGATGCGATCACACGCACGCACGCACGCACGCACGCACGCACGCACGCACGCACGCACGCACGTGAATGCTACGCGCCAGTTGACCTTAGGATGGTGTACATTGCGTTGTCCGACCACTTTCGGTGACGTTTTGGCTGGTCTGTCACAACTCACACCACGGAAAACAAGTTCCTGAGGTGAATCTCTACCACAACAAAACGATAATTTAGCTTCCCTGGGGACAGTTGGAAATTGCTACCTGGTTTAACTTCGTCAGCGATATGTTGGGTGAAGAATTTACAACAACCGCGGTCAATGACGTGTGATTTCTTAGTATTCTCAGAGAATAGGTGATTTCTCGTATTTGATTGCACTTAGCTGTCCTACTTCCCGCGGACTTCATATTCTAACCAAAAAATAAACTTACTAAGGAAAATCCTAAAAACCCTGCCCTGATTTCGCTGAGAATCTTTTGACACCTTGTCCAAATAGCTCGAAATGGCCACCATCAAACCACAAACTCAAGCCATTCCACGGACTTCCTGTGTCACCTCATCTTGAAGTATAGTGTGTGGAAGCCTGTACGACAGTTTTCTGTCAAATAATACATGTGATATTTGCGGATATCAACCAAGGATAGCGCTTCTTGGATTATCTTCAAGTTTTCAGCAGAATGTTGATGACGTTACTGTCTGGTAACTTCGGCCTCCTCAACTGACATCAGGATAACAAACAAAACAAACTGGCCGGATGTGAGTCGCGTGGTCACATGTCTAGCGCCGAGGTCTGTCGCATCATGTTGGATTTGGTCAAAGTTGGTCAAATCCGACATTGTCTGAAATTGAAAGGCTAAACAGTCTGGAGGCTAGATTGCTTGGTGCCGAAATCGATTCAACCATCACAAAGAACCGGATCAATATGGTCAGAATAGAATGAATGCAATTGAGAAAAACGAGGCAGAAGTAGTCTAAGAAGGACTGCAGACAAGCTGGAACTACTGCTCCTTCGAAGTGCAGTTCAGTTTACCTCGGATCGAACACTGCCGTTGACATCTGCTGCAGTTGTCAACTAATTGATCTGAGGGTTAATGTGTGAGTACAGTATGATTCGCTTCTGACGATTATCTGGTTTCGCTTTGCAGCCCTATATCACAGGAGTTTCTGTCACAGTGCATTGAGTAGATACCAAGACCAACAGTGTTCCTACGTGAGACCGAAATTGATAATCATTGTGAAATGAATTTGGGAGTTTAGACGGATAACGCATTCAGTACTTTCGCTGGTACGTATCAGGATGATGGCATTTGTTTAATCATGTAAATTCTTTGGAAATGTAGATAATACCAACCCATGTGTGATCAGCGAAATACACTCATTTGCAAACTAATTTGGTTTTTCGAGAGACTCACCTGAAACCCAGCCGAATCTCTCGGTTTTGATGTTTCCAGGGCACTGCGCCTACCTGATGAGCTCCAAGAAGGGCAAAACCGGTCGTGGGCTGTCGAGGCGTTTTCAGCAATCTTATGAGTAATGCGTTACAAAAATAATATGTAATCAGTTTTACCTTCCATATCGCAGGATAAACATGAATCCCAATTGAATCTATCGTTTATGGTAATCTTCGACTGAATATGCTGCACAGGTTTCGCTTCATGCTTCATTCGGTACGACATTCGCCCTTTTTGAGGCTCGTCAGATGAGCACGGTCCCCGAGTTTCCCTCAACCTCATGTTCCAGCTGAAAACAATTTGGTTTTCAAGGGAGACTAAACTGAATCCCAACTGAATCTATCGTTTATTGCTATTATCTGAATATGCTGCACAAAAAGCGCCTCATGTTTCGATATGTCGCAGTATATTTTCTCGAAGGAGACTACTCACGAGGTGGGCTGCCGAGGAGTCTTCACCAACCTTGTAAGTAGTTCCCTTCAAGGAACTAGTATGAATGCGTCCCGGGATTAAAGTTTTCCTGTGATTACCGTCCTAGAATCAGTTTGGGGCAGGCTGATGCTCCTATGTTGTTGCTCCGTGCCGATCTACATTCGCTCACTCACTCACCTGGCTTGCATGAGGAACAACCGTTTGGTGGGCTAGTTCTCCTACCTGGTAATTCCAGCTATCGCTTCACGTGGTCTGATCTGAAAGACAAATTTCCCTACTGTCACGGGGGCCCGAAACCGACCGAAACCTTCAAGTCCCGCGAAAATCGCAGTAGGGAAGCCATCAAGTGTCCAGGCCACAAAACCCGGCTTTTGATTGGACGTTCAAGCAGCCAACCAATTTAGCAGCGGTCGACGATGATGGGTGTTCGCCCAACACCGATCGGACAGCTTGGATCAAGGTTGAAAAGAGTTCCTTGTTGGCGAGTCTTTTCCCGACACTAAGGCACTGGAGCAGTTAGTTACAACATCTACAGGAAGTCAGATAGCCGAAGTGGTTAGGGCGCGAATTTACTGACCGGAAGGTCCGTGGTTCGAACCCAACCTCTGCCTCTCGACTTCCCCTGTCTAGGCTTGGGCAACCTGGCTGTATCCCAGACCTCGTGCTTCCTTCGGGTTGCATGGCAGCTAGGCACCGAAAGGGTGCTACAGCTGAACGATCATCTTTCTACAATATCTACACACAAATTGTGGCAGGACCTCGTGTGGATGCACATATTTTACATGAAATCTTGCACATCATATCGGTTCTTATCACTGTGTCCCGTTTTCATTTTACGTTTTGATGGTGCAAGCGTGATATACAAGATTCCCTGCAAAGTTTAAGAGACATTGCATGGGGCAAACAGGAAGGAGTCCTTCACAAACACAAACTTGCTGCTAAAACAGTATTGATTTTTGCCCGCCTCTTTAAGTGAATACTAGGAATGCGACGACTTCAATCGGAATACTGACAAAGAAAAGATATATTTGTGGTAGCGTGGTACTCCACGCCGATGGTGAACAATAATTATGTTGAAATTGATTCAATATATCAAGCATTGGGGACAAAAGAACTCCAGAACTGCAAAGCTCTGAACTGGGCAAGGAGCCAGAAACGAAGTGCGGAGAAGGAACAGGTGCCCCGAAATCCACCGGGACAAACAAAGGATAAGCCGAAGGACCAAATTAGACAAGGGATGGAGAACGATTTGACAGAGAATGCAAGAACGCAAAGAAATCGTCCACTGTAGGAGGAACAACTGCATCGAATAGCTAGGTGCGACTCGCCAACCACAGTAGAACTCACCACAAATTGAAAAAGGACAACCGCAATATATAGAAAATGCCCAAAGAGCACATTAAATACAAGGGAAACTTACCGTTGGACCACACAAATTGCAAATGGACTATTCGGAGGGGGGACTAAGTCTCCTGGAGGAGCTGTCTAACATACCAGCTGGATGCGAGGACTACAGAGCACAGCGCAACACGTATATTAAAGGGCTAATAAGATTACTATAAGGCCGCCATCCAACTGGTCAATAACGTCTGAAGATATCACGTACGGTATAGAAACTATATAATCGGAGGTAAGTGGAGCTGAATACGCGCAGTGCACTAATGGTTTGTCCGTGACGAGCGAAACTCTCACAGGCCAATGGCCAATTGTGCAACAAACAGATCAAAAGCTACTTGATTCGTGACCAGCAATCACAACGTGACATCAGTTTTGAGCACCTATTGTTCACTATTGTTCAACTAACTTACAATGATAGGATAATTCCCAGTGAATAACGCTTATTAAGTGTTATTAAGTAGAACATGAAGATGATCTATTCCCTCGTGAGCAAACTGACCAGCAATGGTGCGCGTAAAGGTACCTCACGTTCAAGCAAGAATCACTTACTGAGTGATGAAAGGATGATGTAACTGGCCGGTCGACAGTGTACCGCATATACTACTGATTTACACTGATTTACTGATTTGTCGGATGAGCAAGCAGCCCGCTTCTCTGAAGTTCGGCTCTGGAGAGTGACCTATTCCTTGATACGAAAATCGGGACTAGTTCTTTGTTTTGTTTCTTCGACACTTTACATCTTCTACAACCTGGTCTTGGGATGGTGTCAAATGCCGTTCCATAGGGATTAGCAACCATCTTTCAACTTTTGCGTGAGCTATGAATGGCTGTAGCCTGACGTACTATTGAATCTCACTGTTCCCTCAGCTGAAAGTGTAATTTCGAGCTCCCCCTCTCCCTTGGCTTGTTTTGGCTTCTTACAGGTTTCCTATACTTCTGGGGCATTTCCTTCATGGTTTTGACCACACTGGTCGCCTTATTCAAACACGAAACAGAGGCAGCCAGGCCGCTTCAAAAGTGCCTCAATGGAGTGTCAACGAGGCTGCGTAACACATCGGCCGTTCAGCGACTCAAGACCACTGGTATGTCATTACGTCCCCGACATCGTGGTCGCAGTCCAGAAACAATGGTCGGTGATGAAGATGTTACTGACATCACCGACGTCGAAGTGGAAAACGAAGACATTGTATTCGATCAAGCTGCGGATAGTCAGAGAGCAATGAGAATTAACAATCAGAATTGTTGGGCGAACAGTCGGTCCGGAAGCGTCATCGAAGTTTCGCCGGAAGATCCATCGTTCAACCAAGGCGATCCAGCTGCTGCCCCCGCTGAGGAGTCATCCAATCACGGTCTGTCCTTGTGTGACACATATCGTGTCACAATTGGTGTACTATGGCTCAAACCAGTCCTCACTTACATCGCATTGCTTCTGATTGTCAAGGTTAGTGTTTTGTTGTTTGTAATTTTGACCTCGAGATAGCTCAGTGGTTAAGGTGTGAGTTTACAAGATGTCCGTAGTTCCAACCCAACCTCTGCATCTCAACTGCTCCTGTCTAGACTTGGGTGATCTGACAGTATCTCATCTCTCGTGCTTCCTTCCAGTACCACCGAAGAGGAGCTACGGCTGTGTTATTTGTGTCTGCGGTGCCTGTATGGTTCAGCTATCAGTAGGCATAGACTCCTTGGTTTTCTGGTCGAACCATTCTGTTCGTTAAGTGTGCCTCAGCTGTTTTTAATTGCCTTGGGAAGATTAGAAAGCTGGAATTTACACACCCCTTCCCTACATACCTACGTTGTGGTCACCTTCGCCTTTTGACAGCCTCTTGCGAGAGATCTGCTATTTGGGCATGCAACTGAGTGGTCTTATTAGGGACGATTTTTTCGATCCTTCTGATATCGAGCAAATCCTGTAAACAGGAACACCGGGCGGAGGGACGATGTTTTTCGAGCATAGTCGAATACGGGCGATTCTTCAAACAGCTGCAGGACTCATTCTATTCTATTGGGTGTTCAGCCGTAGGAGTGTATAAATTGGTTCCAGATCAGGTGACTGTTGATCTGTTAGCCGAGATCGACCAGCAGATCAGCGGCCAACTGATCCACATCAAATCAGTATGTTTTCGTCGTAAGTGAAATCAGGCTGTTGGGTATACACTTCAAATGAAATTCAATCTTGACTGACCACAGGACTTCAAATCAGGTGGCTTAGAGAAAGTTCCGTGGAGAAGGTTCCCTGGCGAAACTAAAGGCTATTAACCGAGACTTCTAGTAATCAGGCAGAATTCGTGCGTTCATGCGCTGTGATCGCTTTGCTAAGCGTATTGTTCATGGACTAATCCAACTGTGTACTGGTTCTGTTCCATCACGCACTCTATGCACCTACCTCTCTTATTTCTTCAATTCCACTTCAATACAGTTTTGCTTTGCGGCCTGTGATTCCGTCACCACATTGAAAATGATCGAGCACGGCGTTTCCAAGGAACACTTGGCCTTCCTCCAAATGCTTCTCGTGCCGCTACAAGTGGTCCTCCCCTTGCTGATCACTCGATGGACCAATGGCCCGCGACCGTTGTTGGTGTTCACCACAGCTGCTATTGTCCGGTTAGTCAGTAGTTCCCGTTTGATAGTCGATTGATGTGTAGTGGACTTCTTCAGCGAATTTTTTCGAGCTTCTGTTCAAGGTGGACTGTATAGAACAGGAGAATCCCACCGTTCATATATAGCATACTAAAGGGCTGTAACCCAGTCGGAGGGCTCCTTGTTGACTTTGCTGTCGGATTCTGATGAACCCCAACCATAAGAGTCTGTGAGACTCTGAGGAATAGGTTGGGACAAACATCTAGTAGCAGCGATGGTCTCCGGTGTATTGACATATTGGTGGCTTGTTTGCACCCGCTAGTTATTGATCTTTTCACCGAGCTTGGCGAGTGTTTTGTAAACTTCTCCCTGCTATTGGTCGTGTTTAAATAATTTGTTCGCCTCTAACGCAACTGATTATTTGGAAAGATAGCTTCTCGTGGATCCGCTAGTCCGTTTATCATTTTTTCCGAAATCTGACTTTTTCGGATGCCTTCCTTTTCGTACTATCCACTCTGTGTTCTGCTTGATCTATCGTCCTCTCGCTTGTCAGCCCAATGCTTATAAAACAATGAACAAGTTTGGATAACAGATACACGGGCGAAATCCAAAGCGTTACAACTTCTCGCCGCTCAAACGCAATTCTGAGCGACTGACTCGGATTGTCATCACCCTTCACACCGATAACCAGCCTTGATAAGTCGACTCCGTTGTCTTTGTTTAGATACCCTGGTAGAGGAGGCTGTTGTTCCTCTCTGAACAGGTGAAAACACTTTTCGTTGATGACTACTGTTAGGCAGGAATCCACACGGATCCCGCTATACCGCACGTCTTCAGGCGCGGCTATGGCCGATAGGCCTAGTCCGCATGAGACTGGCCAAGAATTCGGGACGCCTGCCGGTCCGGCAGCAAGACGAGATCTGATTGGTCCACAATCTGGACCCAACAGCCAATCATGACCCAGTGTTGGCCAAATGCCGGTTGCCAATGTCACATCCAGAACGCGTCAGAAATTCCAGAAAGTTGTAACCGCCTACGCTATATATACGAAGCGCTGTACAACTGTTCCTGAATTCGTTTTGGGCATTAATAAACCTTGTGCACCTTTGATGGTTGTTTTGACGTGAACGCTAGCCTGGGAGGCTCAGACCGAGAACTAAGCTGAGGAAAATACTGTTACTACAACTACTTCCAACAACCAGCGAAAATGACTGTTTTCTATAGAGGAAAATGTTGGTAGCCCTGGTAGGGTTGATGGGCAATCAAATTGCCCAGCTCAGCGAACAAGCCAACGACCAAAATGACTGTTGGCTTTGTCATGTTTGACTTCATGAGGCCAAATCAGCGAGCTATTGGTTGCTTTTGTTGCGCAAAGCGATTGATTTCGATTTCCCACGATATGTGGTCCTCGTTTTCAGTAACTTACTGGGTCAGCGAATACTTGTCGTCAGATACCAGTCGACTGCAGACTCTCTCATCGGGTTTAAATCTCAATACGCGCGGAAAATCGATCACCTTGTCGTGGTGTCTGGGCTTCGGTGGTGCAATGATCCTTATAAATTAGGTCAGCGGGAAGCAGTCGAACGAAGAACAGTGACACAGAAATCATACTCCACAGCAGTCTGTTGGTAAAACCGTACTGTTTGCTTTGACAGGAATTTGAGAACAGCTAGGTGTTTCTTCCCAGCATCTCTATGGAAGCAGCGGTGCTGCCTTTCTGTCGAGGAAACACAACTCAAGATTCTCAAACCCCAGCCGCCTAACGGTCGACCGTGACCGCCGGCGAGTTATCCAGTGCAGTTGAAAAACATAATAATTTACCCAAGTCGGGTGCAGCTCCAAACACATCCACTCCGCGTAGCAACACCAACAGCTAGGTAGCTGTTCCTTAGTGTCTGTGCCCCTTCAGGCCAGGGTAGCAGTTTGCAACCAAGTGCGCCAGACTGCTGAGTCGTTGGCTTTGGCTAGAGCCCCTCTGGAAAATCCCAAAAACTTTACCTCGCAATGCTTCGAAGACACCTAAGGTCAAACACTGACATCCTCGGCGCTCAGCTTCCGTATGTTGATATGGAGCGCACCGCAGCATTGTAAACTTGATATTTAACTGATAAGCTGATGTCGCGTCTACGTCACAATAGCTGTTCTGGTCCTCTCGATCAGGACTGAAATATCATCTTTCGCGAGACCACCTGGACTGATACAGCTGCTCAGGTAAACAAACTTATTATCTACTACGTCAGTCGGTTCATACGCAAGCATGAGGCTAGGGTGTGAGGTGCATACCAAACCGTGAGGCGGAATTATTTAGATTATTTAATATTGTTCGCATTACCACGGGTCAGATCCCAGAAGAGCTATGTCGTCTGCGTAGTCACTGTCTGTGAGCGGATGCCCCGGGAGCATTTCGACCCCGCATACATAATTACATCTATAGTCGTACCAATGACGAAGTTGAAGAAGAAAGTTGAAAGACCACAGTCCCGTCTGACAGCACTTGATCTGATGAACTCAGGCGAGAGCTGCCCGTAAACCTTCACACGGCCGCGGGAGTTGGCCTTAAGTAGGGTCAGGAATTCATGGGGGACACCTTTGCTCCATAGACACTGCCATAGTCCCTGTTGGTCCACAGAGACAAAGTTAGGTTTCAATTCAAGGAACACAATCATTGTTGGTTGCTGGAAGCAGTGTTGCTGTTCCAGAATCTGTCGGTATAGACTATTTCCAGTTGGACCATGTTGAGTTACTCACAAAACCCTGGAAGCCAAATCGTTCAAATGGAGGTTTATCTACAAATGCGGTACTATAAATACACTAATACAATAATGAAACTCTATACACCTCATCGTGGGAATACGCCGGAATCTATACACCGGCTTGGGAACTGCTAATCCATAACGGTTTCCAAAGTCCATACCGACTCAAGGCAACGTGTTCATAAGATAGCGAAACCACGGGTTGATCTAAACAACACGTGCAATGACAGGGTCATTACTTTCAGGTAAAAAATAAGACAGCTGGTGTAAGCGCAAAACTGGATCGCATTGTACAAAATAAGAACAAAAGAAAAGAATCAACAGTCGGAGGGTGAAAGTGTGATCGATGCATGCTCTTGCAGGGCGGAACCCAACGGGGTTTTCACGGTTCTGTCTCCCTATGTTCAGTCAACCTTCGAAGGATAAGACCAGGGAGCACCTTCGATGCCACAGCTAATAGGCTGATGCCACGGTGGTTTTCACACAGCATCATTGTGCCCTATTTAAAGATAGGGACAACTGTCGACATCCCCCATTCTTCAGGCACCTTCGCTTCGTTCCATATAACACCAGTAAGCTTTGTCAGATGGATCACCAGGTGTTCTCCGCCTTCTTTGAAGATGGATAGAAACCGTCCGGTCCTGGTACCTCCTCACGTTTCAATACTGATATTTCGTGCTTTATTCCTTCTGACGGGCGATTAAAGTCTACATTCCAGACGTCTGCATGCACGGGCTGTGTTGCAGGAGGCCAGTTTAACTGTTTCTCAGTGTTCGGTCAATCTTTCCAGTCGACGTTTTTGTGAGTGAATTAATAAGCCGCCTTTTTCACGTATTGTTTCGCTAACCGTTGCTTTCCTAGTGCCAGTCAATCGTGTCACTTGATATAGGGCACATCTCTTTCCGGTAGCAAAAGCTTTCTTCATCTCCTGCGCTTTCGATGTCCACCAGAGCTCTCGGTCTTTCTTTAGGCGCTTCACTATTTGACGTTTGACGGATTTGCGTGCGCCGTCGTACTCGTTGCCTGCTGGTTTGGATTTCCTGACATCAATCATGACTTGCGACCTTGACGATACCCAGTGCTCCTGTGGTCGAATAGGATTTCAAAACAACACTACTGTTCTTTTCAGGCTTACTGTCAGCATCAGTTTGCTTAGACTGAATTTTTCAGGAATAGCAACGTGTGCTTCCCTTATTATTTCATTTTGTTGTCGGACGCTTCATCGTTCTCAGTCAGATAGCTTGCCTTTCACAGAGAGAACAGGTCGTTTCTGAAAGGCTTCTGGTGACCTGCCAAGTTGAGAATGGTACTTTCACTACGCCCACTGTTCAGCGATGATGCACTGGTCAAGCTTAGAACGTCGGAGACACCCTAATAAACCAGCCACCTAAACCCAGGAGGACAACGTGTGACTTAGGTCTTGAGTACCGAGCAGGGTTTTCTCCGCTGACAAAAGTCAAAACAACTCTCAGAAACAAACCCGCATATGCTAGTTTGGGTCTGAAAACGCACGTACACATAAACCCGGATACCGTATTTCGGGCCATCCGGTGATTCTTCACGGGAACACTCCTCGATGTGACCATCCAAAAGACGGCCCGAAGCCTATTGGACGGTTTGAATGGTGGTCCATGTTAACTCGGTGATCTGTCATTGGCTGTCCAAATGCGGCGACACACTAGTACCTTATCAACCTGAACTAATTCACCTGAACGAGTCGGAGTCAATAACGGGGAACAATAGGTGAAAACATTTCGCCCTTAGCACTGCAGTTAGGATGGGTGTGTCGGATGTTCCCTGTCTGGTTCCGCGAGATCACCCTTACTGTTACGGCAATCTCAATGATGGTGAGCTGGAAAAAGTCGTGCACCATGCCTGATTGGGGACCCTTTATGAACTGTCTCCAGTCTGCTGAAGTCCTGATGCGCAGAAAACGATGTTGGGGCCCGATAAGTCAGAAGGATATGCTTATGAAAGCCGGCTATACATCTGGCTAAAAACTGAAAATTTGTCTCTAGATCGGTTGCGGCTTTGTTTATCACGATAATGTTACACTAAAACAGAACAACTGCTCTCCCATGTCAACAATGAAAAACAGGTAATCCCTTAAATATCAACTTTAAATTTCAAGCAGCTTTTTCAGGTGGTGATCACTTCTCTAACTTGGTTAGCCCAAGTTCACCAACAACTCCTAGCCACTTGCGGTGGGTTGAATTGCTCACAAAAGCTGGTGTAATCAGCTCATTTTCTGCCATACCCACGAGGTCATAATCTAGTCTTGGTTTCTAACCTCCGGAGATGCAATTTTCGGTACGTTTGGTTCATGCAAGTCAACTTATCCACACACGTCGATTTAATTGTTCAAGTCTGCCGCGTCGCTCGTGACAAGCTGTTCGTCATTTCGGTTGGGTTGTCAACTAGGAGGATTGTCGGAGCGTAGATAATGATGTGAACGCCGCAAACGTCTGGTTCACCCCACTCGTGAAGAATGGCTGGAACAAAAAGATGTTCGTTTTCTTTAGTTCAAAAAGGATTGTTGATCAAATGGACCGAACCGCGGATCCGTTAGCGTTCCTCTTAGGATCACCCTATTCGGTTGTTCTGCTGAATTGTCCTCAGATCAGTTGATTCATGTCTTCATTGTTTTCCTGTTTAATTTTTGCAGTTTTACAGACTTTCAGCTCAATTAACGACAAGAGGGTCCTGTTATAAGCAAGTTAGTACCCGTACACGTTTCCTCCGAATTTCCATACGTCTGGGAATATTGACTTTTCTACAGTGACACTACTGTAACCCTTGTTCTCAGCTAGTTGTATCCATCATTTTAAACGCCCGTTCTTTCCATTCCACCTTCGCCTTCGCCCTGCAGAATAATCCTTTCGGTCCTGGTTATCCCTCTGGTCCACTACACTCCCGCATTCCGTCAGGAATTGCCCATAGGACAAACTGCCAACGGGACACAAAGCAGTACCGCTTCGGGCAACCCGCAATACACTTATCCATGGACTTTCTACGGTACCGTTCTGGCCTATTCTGGTATCATCGCAACGGCTTCAAACTTCATGTTCGTCTCGACCATGTCGTTTCATGCGCGAATCAGTGATCCGGCTGTGGGTGGTACTTACATGACCCTTTTGAATACGGCAACGAATTTGGGTGAGATTCACTAGCCGGTTTGCAACGTTTCGTCTTGCCATGTTTCGTCAGGCTCTCTTCATTTGAGGTCTGAGAGGTAAAAACTGTTTGTTTTCTGATTTATCAATCGGAATCCAATAACAGCGGGACGACAACTTTTTCAGTTCAGTATACAGTGATTTGCTCAAAATCGTCCTTCAGAGAACGACTACTCCATTGGGAATTTCATAGCAGCATTCTCCACCAGCCAGCATCTCATTGCGATCCCCTTACCCTGGTCTGCAGCTCGAATTACTCTTAAGCATCCCGAGATAGCCCTCTCGTCTACTTGGATTCCGTGAAACGAATACTGAGAGAGTTTTTCTTTAATCCGAATTTACGACAAGCCTGTGATAACCTCCACTACCGTCGATCTGTGCTCTCGTTGATAAAAGGTATTCTACCGATCACGTGACCTTGGCATACCAAACACCTATGCTGTTTAAGATCCCCCAGCCAGGCCTTATTTGGAACGCAGCGTGTTCCTGTCCCTTAACTGATGTTTTTTTACGAACCGACCGCTGATGTCACTCGATGGACATAAAGAGTTGTACACGAATGTGGCAGTGGCAGTACATTTACTTCAAACAGCTAGGCTCACGAGCTATGCACACGACGCAAACTACTGTTGGTAGAGCGATCGATAAATTTGACTCCTATGAGCTTCTACTCACTATTTTCGACCGATGCGACGTGGTTCAAGTGGTTAGAGCGCGAATTTACTGACCAGGAGGTCCGTGGTTCGAACCCGACCTCTTCCTCTCGATTTCCCTGTCTAGACTTGGGCAACCTGGCAGTATCCCAGCCTTCGTGTGGCATGGCAGTTAGGCACCGAAAGGGTACAACAGCTGAACGATTTTTTTAACCTTTCTGGTTTTTTACCTTGAAGAAGATTTGCAAGGGTTAACTTGAGGCAGTCACAAAAGTGTATATGCTTGCCGATGGCCAAACTAAATAGCTAACTGAATGGCGGGACCATGTATAGGGTCGGCTGACGAGAGCGACGAGAGAGAGAGGCTGACGGTCCAATAGAGTGCTCCAACAGTACTGATGTGCTTACAGAGGTCCTTAGGCGGTGGCTGTAGTTGGACCCTATTCGATTTGTCAGACAGGCGTGTACCAACCTCATCTTCCTAAACAGCGAGATTACGGTGTTTTTGTGGTGCACCTTTGGCCAACTGGAGTACCAAGTTTCGACATGTAGCACGACACCGTGACGGCTGCCGCACATTGTCGGCTGGATTTTGAAGGGGTGGTTTACACCATCTGTTCATGTGACTGCGAGTGAATGTATTGGTCACAGGATGAACAAAATCTGAAATGATTGTAGATGAACTGAGGTAGTGATATCCGCGATACCAAGCTCTGGAGAACAATGACTGTTTTGGAGGGGGGATTTCAGACCGTGTAGCACAAGTGTCAACAAACCACACCAGTGTTTGTGACAGTGAAATGGACGCGAACGTGGCGTCATTGAAAGTTAGACATGGGTTTTGGTTGGAGGAGATACTTGACCTTGGTGACACCGAAACAACCCTTCGATTTACATTCCAACAAATGTTCAACAAGTAAAACTTTTATCAGAGAGCATGGATTTGATCCATGGCCCATCATTCGGAATAAGCGAAATTAAAATGCACGGTTCGATTAAAATTCGAATGATCACATGGTCGGCATGACGTAGACACGACTCCACAAACACGACCTTGGAAAGCGGTTTGGCCGTTTGTGGGTCACAAGCCGTATTTATGCTATCCAGTGGTTAACACATAGCCTGGTTTCATAAAGAAACTACTACTTCGAGAAATACGCTCATTTGCAAATCAATTTGGTTTTCACGGGAGACTCAATTGAATCTCTCGTTTACGATGTCCTCTGAAAACAGTCCAATTTGGTTTCAAGTAGATCATAAGGTTGACGGAAATTCGGGGACTGCGCCTACCTGATGAGCCCCAAGAAGGGCGAAACCGGTCGTGGGCTGTCGAAGAATTTTCAGCAAACTTGTGAGTAGTTTCCTTTATGAAAATATACCGCGATCTCTCGAGTATCGTGCCAACTGAATCATTAGACGGCCTGTGTGCAGCACATTCAGTTGGAGGACATCACAAACGAGAGATTCAGTTGAGTCTCCCGTGAAAACCAAATAGCCTGGTTTCGTTCAATTTCCAGTTGATCGGTGTGTATATCTCTGCTATAGGTTCCCATCGTGCCTACCCGAACAAGGGTAGTGGAAACTCACGTCTGAGAACTGCGACATATCTCGAGGTGAGACACAGCAATAATCCTAACTTTTTATGCCGAATTAGTAGCTGAGCGGCGAAATAACTTCCGTGGCAATTCGCCAGGATGCTTCGCGACACTTGTCGCATTTCGAAAGAACTGGTCTATGACTGATTACCCTTGACTATCACACCTGCTCATTTCAGCCGCTTTTTGTTGTTCAGAGGGACTGTTTGAGTTGCGTGTTGTCCAGCGCTAATCCAGTCCATCACTGCCCTCCTTTTCGTCTTAGCTGGCACCCTTCCGAGCAGTTTGATGCTCTACCTAGTCGACCCACTCAGCGTACGACACTGCATGAACCCAAACTTATTGAAAGCCGGTTTGGTGTCGTGGAATCTAACGACCTCAGCCAATGCTACGGACGGCTTTCACAACAACGTGACCGGCCAATTTCCGACGACAGAACATCTCCTTCAACTCGGTGAAGCCTGGATCATGCAAAATGCAACTTGCAAAGTGAAACACGGTGTCCATGTAAGTCATATTGACGTGTTTTTTGGGTGTAGCTCCCTCAGTTGGCAGGCAATCGAACAGAACTGCTGAATTAACAACGCCGGATTCGGTTGAGCGTTCTCGTTCTATTGACTGCTTGACACTAACAACAAACACACTAACAAACACTAGTGTTTTTTCACTGGGCTTTTTAGCCAACTCTGTCGAGGCTCTTGCTGAGGTTGATCACGAATTGCGTGGGCTTGCGAAGGGCTCCATACACAACGTTGTATGGCGGATTCCTTGTTGCCGTTCACTTGCGGTCAATATTTAACGATATTTAGTCATTGACTCGTGTGCTTTTCAAGAGACGAGCACAAACTCATGTGAGCCTTGATCATACACTTCTTTTTGCTGTCCATCGAACCTTCCCGTATGTTACGATCGCACCGGAGAGTTCAACGAAATGTGTAAATATGAATCACGCACACAATGAGAGGGACAAAGGGCTTTATGACCGGTTCCGCACTTTGGTGAGCTGATGATACACAGTGCCTCCGGAAAGAAGTCGCAACCCTCGAAGAGAGGTCACATTTCAGGAGAAGTTAAGCACTCATTGGAGTCCGTTTTAGAGTTAATTACTTCACTAGAACAGAAGACAGATATAAGTAACTAAACACAGGACGTTCAGCTATAACACTCTTCCGATGCCTATCTACCATGCCACCCGAAAGAACCACGAGGGCTGAGATATAGCCAGGTTGCCCAAGTTTTGACAGGAGAAGTAGAGAGGCAGATGTCGGGTTCGAACCACGGACATTCCTGTCAGTAAATTCGCGCTCTATCCAGTGAGCCATCTCGTCACTGAATAATAATAACCAAATAATGGCTCTCCACTGTCAAGCTGGTAATGGAGAGCAGTGGATTAGAACTTAAGCACCATTATGTCGGTGAGGATGATGATTCCACGCTGATATCGCTTTTATAAGTGGCATCGAGTTGGTTCCTTAAAAACAATCATTAAGGAGGTGCATTCCGAAAGTTAATGACGTGCATGAAGTCGTCTCAACAACCTGATTAGCCAACTGATCAACCGATCAATAAGTCATGTGAATGATCGCTGCACTCGTGCGTCACTAGCAGTGTTCGCATTAGGGCATGAATAGTCGCAACTTCTACGACCACTCCCTTGCTGACGATCATCCTTCTAATTATCTGACTGTATTTTGGTCATCCTGATGTAATCCCACTTTAGTCACTGCCTAACATGGTAAGTTTTTACCAAGAACTATTGGGTAGTAATGAAACATTACAAACTGGTAGATATCTAGCTCCCATTTCCACACAGTCTACAATGGAACGTGTAAGCGCGACGAGTTGACCTAGTTATTGATCGGTATGGGCTCGAGATAGCTCAGAGGTTAAGATGCCAAATTGCGGACCGGAAGGTACGCAAGGTTTGAACCCAACCTCATCATCTCGGCCACTCTTGTCTGGGCTTTGAACCCAACCTCATCATCTCGGCCACTCCTGTCTGGGCAACCTGCAGCATCTCAGCCCTCGTGTCTACTTCCGTAGGTGGCTAGGCACTGAAAGGCGCTACATTTGAACGAATGATTGGTCGCTAGACCGTTCCGGGTTTACCTATCACATAGACCTACACCAATAGAGGAGGCGAGATAGCTCAAGCAACTAGAGCGCGAATTTACTGACTGGAGGTCTGTGAACTCGGCCTCTGCCTCTCGACTTCCCCTGTCTAGGCTTGGGCAAACTGGCAGTGTCCCAGCCCTCATGCTTCCTTCGGGTGGCATGGCAGCTAGGCACCAGAAGGGTGTTACAGGTGAACGATTATTATTTATTATTATACCAATAGAGCCCCGCTTGGAATAGGCAGCGCCGCATGCAGTTCACGCTCACCTGCTATTCTCGCCACTAACGTCTTTTACTCGATATGGACTCGAAGATCGTAAGGTTAACAGGATGGAGAAGTTCCAAGACCATCAGTCTGCTAAACAGCTTACCCAAATTGTCAAATCAGGTAGATAAAGCGAAACGTTCGAAGCCAGTATTGTACGTGAAGGACAGTGCGCATCACCCCTAAGACGCACCTGTTACACATATATAGGTAGGTAAGGTTGACCAGTACTCAACCTAATCTGCACAACATCCATCACATGGAAGATTCTTTGCAGCGCCTTTGTAGGTTTGGCGCCACAGAATGTCACTTGCAAATTGGGACAACGTTGAACCCAGTGGTGTCTACTTCTGGTTTCCCACACTCCTAATATTGCTATTATTTTATTATAAGACTCCTAATAGACCGAATCACCCCCATCGAACTTCTTATAGTTAGCCTTTGACCAGTCAGTAGATATCATTGAAGACTGAACCACACAAATCAACCTAATGTATCCGAGACGTTAGCCTCTGATAGTATTCTATAGTGTCCCATGACTGGCCATTGTTCGGTCTGCTTCTATGTTCACCAACGTTTGTTAAAGGGGGTGGAGAAACAATGGATCTGGATAGGAGACAATGTGTGGTACTTATCTGGACTGTATCAAACTGCATGGTCAAGACTGCGTGCTGAGACGTTTTGGATTGAATAGATAAACATGCTTACGCTATCCTGACTTGTGGGTGAAAACAGTATTTTGCCTGTTGCGCTTCTGTCATCATCATCATCATTATCACCGAAGACAGCAACATCAGTGTTGGCACTGATGCTTCACTGCCGTACAACAATAGGGTTCGTCTACATACATGTATACATATACATACACACATACGTACATATATATATATATATAAAGTATATTAGAAGCCCTAGAGTGAAAAGAAGAGAAAAAGAGTGAGGGAGGGAGGGGAACTAGTGCTGTCCTATGTCAAGCATTCTGAGGTGTCTACACCTCCAACCGCTCA